GCGGGGGCGCACGCGCGCACTGCTCGGTCGCAACTCGCGCAAGCCCCTTGTGCTCCCGTGAAAAAAAAGAGGGTGAGGAGGAGGAGGACAAGGAGAAAGGAGGAGGAGGAACAGGAGTAGGAGGAGGAGGAGGAGGAGGAGGAGGAGGACCACGAGGAGGAGGAGGAGGGAGGAGGAGGAGTGAGATGAGGAGTGAGGAGGAGGAGTATTAGTCTGGCTGAGCAAGTTGAGGATTTTATGTGAGTAAGGAGGAGGGATTAGGATTAAACAGATTTCAGCGCCGACGAGATATCTGATCAGTGAAAAGCTAAGGACGAGTTGGAGTAGGGAGGATAGGAGGAGGGGGTGTGAGAGAAGGCGCAAGCAGAGGAGAAGGAAGGGGAGGCAGGAGGAATAGGAATGAAGGACCACGAGGAGGAAGGAGGAGGAGGAGGAGATGGAGGAGGAGGAGGGGGAGAAGAGGGCTTAGGGGGAGGAGGAAAGGAGGAACGAGGAGGAGGAGGACGAAGAGGAGGAGAGGAGGAGGAGGAGAGGAGGGAGGAGGAGGCACAGCATGGAGGAGGAGGAACACGACGAGGAGGAGAGGACGAGGAGGTAGGAGCCTAGGAAGGAGGGGGTGGAGGAGGTGAGGCGCAAAGCAGTAGAGAAGGAAGGGATGAACAGGATGAGGGAACAGGATGAATAGGAGGAGAAGAAGTAAGGAGGAGTAGGATTTAGACACAGTATGAGGTAGGAGGAGGACGAGGAAGAGGTGTGACTGTTTCGATCGATGTTTACCCTGAAGCCAGCAGTTAGCTTCTCAGTGAACAGGAGGAGAAAACGATGGAGGAAGAGGAGGAGGAAGAGGACGAGCAGGAGTATATGAGAGGAGGTGAGGAGGAGGAGTAGGTAGGAGGAGGAGGTGGGGGATTGAGGTAGACAAGTGTGACCGTTTTCTTCGTCGGCGTTTTTTTTACCTGAGTAGGAGAGGAGGCGCGGGGAGATGCGGATGAAGGAGAGGAGGGAGGAGGGAGGCGCTAGGAGGAGGAGGAGGAGGAGGACGAGGAGGGGGAAGAGGAACAGGAGGAGGAGGACGAGCAGGAGGAGGATGCGGAGGAGGAGGAGAAGGAGGAGGAGGAGGAGGAGGAGGAGGAGGAGGAGGAGGAGGAGGAGGGTGGAGGAGGGTGGAGGCGGAGGCGGAGGAGGTCGAGGCGGTGGCGGTGAAGGCGAAGGAAAATGATGATGATGATGATGATGATGATGATGATGATGATGATGATGATGATGATGATGATGATGATGATGATGATGATGGTGATGATGATGATGGTGATGATGACGCTGATGATGAGGATAATGATGACGATGATGCTGATGCTGGTGATGATGATGATGATGATGAAGAGGAGGCGGACAAGGGGGAACAGTGGGAGGGCGGATGGTGGAAGGGGAGGATGGCCGCCCATCTTTTTGGAATCATGTAGTAAGCAGCCGTTGTGCGCACGCACATGAGCAAAGCAACGGAAATCAACTCGTCTGGCTGTGCTGCCGCGCTGCGCCTCTCCAGGTATCCGCCAGAATGGCAACAATGTCTGCCCAAATGATGTTACTTTGTACAGTTGCATTCTGAACGTGCTTTAGCACTTCCCTCGACCACACCTGTTTCGGTCGACCCCGCTTGCGCGGCCGTGCAGGGTCCAACAGTCCAACTGATGAGGGCTTGAAAAGGGTGCGGGTCACCCTCGCGCGCAATTCTGACCATGTAAACGAATTGTCTTTCTAACAGCGTGGAACTGAGGTTTCCGTAGCGCGCCTGCTCAAAGACGTCTGCGTTTGTTATGTGGCTCACGTGCGAACGCGGCGCTCGAAGGATCTTACGGAGACACCGAGCCTGGAAGCCATCCAGCTTGGAGAGCTCGTCGCTCCTCAACCAGGCCGAGTGGAGTCTGTGCAGGAATTTGCTCAATACGCGTACCTCAAAAATGCGGACCTCCCGCCGGGTGTTAATTCCGTGCTTTGCGCTGCATCCTCGCTGGGCAGCTGGAAGGCACATCGCCGGGCGTCGGCGACGTCGGCGGTGCATCGGCGACGCCGCCGCGGAGACCATCGGGTTCCACATCGATTAGTGAGGGGGTCTCCTACAGCGACCATTAGCAAGCCATGGCTGTTAACTTCTTGGTCCGCAGAATGAAAACGCAAAAAAACAAGTTTGACAGACGAAGCGCCTTGCAATTTTCAAAATTCCGCCGAGCACTGATTTTTGCACGGCCTGTTTTGCCATCGGCTGCTTTGCAATATTCAGAAGTCCACGGGGCATTGATTTTTGCCAGGCATGTTTTGCCATGGGGCGATGTGTCATCGATTCAAAAGCGGGGAACCCCAGGCGATGCTCATTGGTACAACGCCCAAAGGGTTTCCGGACAAAAAAAAAAAAAAAAAACAAAAAAAACAGCGCACATGTTGGATTTGGCGCGCGGCGTACGCGAGTGAGAAAGCAGCAGCCGCTTCTCTATGGCAGCGCGCGCCTTGAGGGGACGCAAGCTTCAACGTGCGAGCGCGTCCACCGCGCAAGCGCAAACGCTGCGAGCGACGGGAAAAATCATCCGCTGCACGGCGATGCGCACACCTGTCGCGACATCACTCGAGAGCGTCGCAATCACATTTGTTCCCGTCCAACTTTGAAGACGGCGCTGCGTAACCAAAGCGAGCGCGGGCGCGCCAAAATCGAAGCAAACACGCACGCACGCACGCACGCACGCACGCACGCACACACACACACACACGCACACACACACGCACGTGCACGTAGCGAGCCAAACTTTTGAGTCGCGACGGGCACGAGCTAGACCAGGGCGCGGCTAACATAATTGACGGCAGCGCAAACCATCTCTCTCTCTCTCTCTCTCTCTCTCATTTTCTATATATATGTATATATACAATATCATCTGTAAATGGAAACAAAGAGAACGGATCGCGGTATGTTGCCCAGCAGCCAGCCCGGAAACGCACCCGAAAGGGCTCCGCGCCCCACGGGCGCCGCAAGGAGAATTGTCGAATGCCGACGCGCACTTCCGCGCCGCGAAAGGGCCCCCATGCCGCTGGAGCTTCCGCCACCGCCCCCCCTTTCCCGTAGTGCAAGGTTTCATCGTCTCAAACGCGCAAGTCCGCAAGCGACGTTGCTTTCTGGAGCGCCAGACGGCTTCCTCACAATATCCGCGCGCATGTTGGGCTTGGAGCTTAACGTGCGGGACATGAGAAACGTACTGATTATACAAAGCAGCGCGCGGCCTGGAGAAGCGCGAACTTAACCGCCGCGCAAGCGGGAGGAGCATTGGCCGAAGAACGGCCGCGACCCGCCTCCGTCGGCTTCCTCAAAAGGCTCCAGAAAAATTCATTTTCAGTTGCGGCATTTATATGTCGACTTCTATATTCTGGAGAATGCAGAATTATCCCGCGCGCGCGAGCGCCGGTGACCCGGCCTCCGTCGGCTTCCTTAAAGGGCTCCAGAAAAATTCAGATTTAGTTTTGAGAATAACACGTCGACTTTTATATTCTGGACAATGCAAAACTCTCCAGCGCGCGCGAACGCCGGTGACCCGGCCTCCGTCGGCCTCCTTAAAGGGCTCCAGAAGAAATCAGATTTAGTTTCGGGAATAACATGTCGACTTGTGTAATGTGGACAATGCAGAATTCCCCACGCGCGCGAGGGTGACCTGGCCTCCGTTGGCCTCCTCAAAGGGCTCCAGAAAAAAAGAAAAAATGCTCAAACGCGGCACTTACATGTCGACTTGTACATTCTGGACAATGCAGAACTATCCCGCGCGCACGAGCGCCGGTGACCCAGCCTCCGTCGGCCTCCTTAAAAGGCTCCAGACAAATTCAGATTTAGTTTCGGGAATAACATGTCGACTTCTATATTCTTGGCAATGCAGAACTCTCCAGCGCGCGCAAGCGCCGGTGACCCGGCCTCCGTCGGCCTCCTTAAAGGGCTCCAGAAAAATTCTGATTTAGTTTTGGGAATAACATATCGACCTGAATATTCTCGACAATGCAGAACTCCCCACGCGCGCGCGCGGGTGACCCGGCCTCCGTCGGCCTCCTTAAACGGCCCTTCAACCAGCCAACCTGCCTACCAGCCGGCGCACCAGCCAGCCAACGCACTGGACTTAACCAACCAACCGGCGCACGCGGAGCCTTACGCGTCCATACTTGTAGACAGGCGAGGATTATCGCGCCCCGCGATGCGCGACGCGCGGTGAACTTCACGCCCCTGCGCCGCCGCCCTGGACAAGGGCGGCTCTCCTGCCCGTGCCGCGACGCGCGAGGCGCAATAATCTTCGCGCCCCCAGGGGTGAGCAAGTGCAAAGGCCTTGGGCGGCCACGTGTTTCAGAAATATGAAAACCCACGGATGCAAAGCACAAAATGAGTATGCAGGCGTACAGTGAAGGTCTTGACCTAAGGTGTGACATAAGGAACTAATGCCCCCACCTCGGCATGCGGATACACGTAGGGGCGACAGCTCCAGCGCGCGCCCCGCAAGGAACGGGGGGGCCCGAGAACGGAGCTGGACCATAACGCAACCACCGTTCAATTATGTCGAGCCAGTGAGCTCCGAACCGCGTGGCCGAAGGAACGGGGGGGGCTCTTGCGAGGAACTGGACCTCAATGCCCCATACCTTGGTATGCGGATACATGTTGGGGCGACAGCTCCAGCGCGCGCCCCGCAAGGAACGGGGGGGCCCGAGAACGGAGCTGGACCATAACGCAGCCACCGTTCAATTATGTCGAGCCAGTGAGCTCCGAACCGCGTGGCCGAAGGAAAGGGGGGGGGCTCTTGCGAGGAACTGGACCTCAATGCCCCATGCCCTGGCGCGCGGAACGGGCGAAAGCTCCAGCGCGCGCCCCGCAAAGAACGGGAAGGCCCCGGAGAGGCGCAGGGCTTGTACGCGACCGCCGTCGCATTACGTCGAGCAAGCGCAAGGAACCGAGCCCCCGCGCGGAGCCCCGTTCCTGAGACCGC